ACAATAAAAAATGGGGTATGTAGATCGCGTGCAAATTACTTTAAAAAGGTATCCGGCCTACAATTCTCCATTTTTTTTATTAAGCAAACAGGGTCTAATATTTTTGCCAATTATAATCTTTGTGTGTCTACTGCAACTATTTGTCATTGTGTAATTTGTGTGAAATGAGCACATACAGTAGTATTCAAGATAATGTCCTGTTCATCGAATGATTCGTAATTAATTTTTGAGTATTCAGATCAAAACAAATCAACGAATTGTTTGAATCAATTGTTATTCAAATTAAAGTTGACATGTATTAGTATCAGTATTAGTATTACACATCATTTGAATTACTACCACTTGGTCAATGATTTTTTTTCACCATCAAAAAAAGTTATTTTAAAAGTTCAGCAGATTATAATTAATATTAATAGTAATTTGGTTGTATTTATAAAATATCAACAATAGTAATTGATTATCAGCATATAGAGAAGAAAAAAAATGACAGGGCAGCTCAAGTAATCAAAACAAATATGAAATTGTTGAAATTAACTTTAGATGATAAAACGAAATGTGGGATTATAACATATTTAGATATTAAGATATTACCAAAAGTATTACATTGACATATAATTATGAATGATGACAATGACCTTATAACCTTTTGGATGAATCAATTCTTGATAAAATCCATGCCAGTTAAAATTTCTGCTCATGCTTTGAATTCAGCACTTGAAACAAAATATGGCAATGTTATTTTATTATATGATGGTCCAACGTTAAGACAAGGAGGGTTTTTAAACCATAAAACAATAATTTATCAATTTACATTCATTCAGAGTTTAATAAAATCATATATCAAAAAAATAAAATACAAGTTACAAAAATGGTTGCTCGATATTTTTTCCATCAAACTACATTACATGTCTTCATAAATGTGTCTCAGTTTGAAAACAGTCATCAAGGAGAACTCCTCCACCCACCAAGAAAAAATAATTAAAAGTACTTGCTTTTTGAATATTTTGGTTTATTATTTGGATATGTTGAGTGATGTGCACACTTGGTGAAAATGAAGTAAACTTGAGTTAATGGAACATTAGCACCCACTTCTTCCATCCACTTGGAGTAAATAAATATCATGAAAATTGTTGTTTGAATCATGCAGTTTTTCTTGCACATAAA